GCGGGCCCTTGTTGAGAGNCCGATTCATTCTTTGTAAGTGTTCTTGTGACCTCGCCAAATGTTGAACTGACTGTTGATACTGCAAAATAATTTTATTTCAAAACTTCATTGAATATTCAACGATAATAAATTTTATCATTACGACCGCAGTGAAAATAGCTATAAAATGCCATCTGTGCAGCACAGACAAGGGCAGCAGTTGCGTGCTTACATTACAGCACCAACGAATGCGAACAGATAAAGCCAGACGGGGCGCGCGAATATTGGTTATAAAATATTAAAAGCCTCGTCATTACATGCCTTTTTATTGCTTCGGTTTAACACTTTTCGGACTGTCTTTTACAATCGTTTAACCATCACGCAAGCCCGTCCATCACAAATGTTATACATGTACCTAACCTACTACCTAGCAAGAAGTTCACAGTAGTTCTGCGAGGTTTGCACAAGATCACGCGACTTTAGAGCAAAAAATTTTGCATTACCGAATTCGAATAATCGCGAATTTCTCATTTGTATTTTAAAAGATTTAGGACATTCATAAAGAATTGTATCTCTAATGGAAAGTATTGAGTTACGACATTCATGAATGTATATAATAATTGTTAGTTTTTTTTACAGACTCATTGTTACATCAACAAAAAACTATGATATACAAGGGGTGTTATGTTACAAGATAAAAAATTCTTTTTTCAGAGGTTTTGCGTAATAAAAACTTTTGCACGAATAATGTACGATTGTGTTTTCATGGAATGACGTTGTAAAAATTATAAAAAAAATATGAAATGTGATGAATTACTTATCAATAATTATTCAACTTGTGATTTCATTGGTTTACTAAGTTAGAAGTATATTCATATTAGAGCAAGACAAGAATAATATTGTAATAATTTCCTGCAATCATTATTATCATTATCATCACCACTAGCACTGACATCGTCATCATCATCATAATCACTCACATCATTGTCATCGTCATCACAACCGCCATCATCATCATCATTAAGACTGACCTTTAGTGACCTCTATGACATCATCGACCAAATTTCTGAACCTCTGTAGCATGATTATCGGTAACAGGAAGTGACGATGATGATGACGACGACGACGATGATGAAGATGAGGAAGATTTTAAACGGTGAAACTTAGCTGATGACGATTTCAACTATTAAGTTTTTGTTGTTGCTGCTGCTGCTGTTGCTGTTGTTGTTGCTTTTGTTGCTGTTGTTGTTGTTGTTGTTGTTGTTGTTGTTGCTGTTGTTGCGGTTTTTAATCATCATGCCGATGAAGATATTTTGTTA